TTATACTCGGGAACGGGTTGGGAGTGGGTGGGAGGGGATGATATCTTTCTCCCGCTTTTCTCTTTAGGAGTCGTAGTAGAAGTTTATCGTTATATGAGGAGAGGGATCGGTGGGAGGGGGAGGGACGGATGAGATTCAAGAGAAACTTTGTCTCCTCGAATAGTTTGGACTTTTGCGAAGATGGTAGCACGGCGTCTCACTCTCCCTCTGTCGTTTTCGTATTCTCAGGGTTGAAAGGTGAGGGAAGAGGGTAAATGGTGAGGGACAGGGGAGGGTAGAAGACTTATCTCACTACGAGACAGTGCTTCCCCATGGGGTGGAGGATTACTGTAGTTTTTAGTTGTTCCTTTTTTTTTTAAAGAACTTTCCCCATTTGTTCGACTCTCACTCCACTTTTCCGCGGGATTCATAAAGCCAATTGATTTCCGCGGCGGATACTATTAATCTCTAGTACTTCCCCGTGAGGTCAGTATTGGACAAATAATTTTCTCTTTTTTTAATTAGTGCAGAATAAATTCGGGGGGGGGGGGGAACGGCTCATAACAGTCATAAGGGTCAAGTGTTATTGAACCCATGAACTTGAGATAAAAAGAAACGTATGAAAAACTGGGAGCCATTGAACTCGGATTGAACTCTCCCATAAATCCAAATTACGTTCGATCGACTCCTTTCATCGGAAGTGCTCAAATAAAATGGCAATAAAAACTATTGGTAAGAGATAAGCCGAAGGTACGAGAATACAGAGAGAGAGAAAAATATAAATATACGGGGTATATCGCTCACGACTAAAATACCGTGAATATACGTCAATTCCATACAAAAACATTTTCAACAGAGGAAGAATGGCGTAACAATGGCATCGACACGTTGGCACGCAAGAGACGTAACTCTAAGCTGGAAAAACGTTACTCGGGCTATTTTCTCCAGGGGGAGAGGGGGGGTGGGGTAAAAAGGGAGAAAAAAATAAGAAAAGTCGACAGGCAAGTATAGTCAAGGAGGTGTATGCGATCCTGGGCTACATGCGGGCAGAAGGAAAATCGATGCAGTTTTCTTCTGGGCAGTAACAAAGCCAATTCCATTGGACATTTTCTCACGTCTCTTGCACGGACAGGATTTCAAATTCTCTTATCCCCTCGTGTAATTTATATTTTATTTCCATTTTCACCTGTCAACCGAATGTTTTTTAATATACCGAGGATTTCCAATATTTTCAACGCTCAAATTATTCACAGTTCAATCAGAAAGTAAATGTCTATAAAGATGAGAGTAAATCTGCTTTAATTATTATTTCAATCATAGGGCCTTGGCAACAGCGAATCGCAGCGATTGTGATCGATTGCCTTTGGATGATTTACACGTCAAAATGACGCGCCCGCTGGCTGGCGAAATTGAGACTGAGAAAGAATTCTCTCGTGATAAAGTAAAGCGATATCACAATCGATATTATCGATCTATTTTGCATCAGTCGTCAATAAATTGAAGTGTCGATGCTTGAATATTCGTTGAATTATTTCATCCTTCTCGGCAATACGTGAGCATGAATCTTTCACCCGATACGCCTGTCACCGATATCATTGATATCAATACGAAGTGACTCCATTCATTCCCAACAGTTTGTTTTCGCTATTGAATGTAATACTGCTGATAAATCTCGGTAAAATGAACATTTTTATCTTTCCACTTGAATCGAGGGAGAACAATGGCCGATTCAATCCTATTTTCTTGACTGCGTGTAGCACTTGAGAGAGCTTCCATGTACAGTACACATTGGTTTGGATTTACCTTGGGATTCCCCGTGCATACCATCAACATTCGATTACGATAACTTTCGTGCAGGGGAATGAATTTAATAATAAAAAAAAAAATACCTGCAATGAACGTTTCACTGCAGCTGTGAAAACTTGGAAAAAAAATTTATACAAAAGTGATGTACTCGGGAATTCACAAGCCAACTGTCAAATATCCGGAATTCTCAGACCAATAACCCTAAATCTTCAACCTATGAGCCTATGAGCGTGCAGAGTTGATCGGAGAGTTTGATCGGCGTCGATCGAATCTCCGCGGGAATATATTCCAGGCAGTCCTTTGTACCAGGTGTTTCCGAGTGCCCTTCACGGAGAGGAACGAATATACCTCAGATATAACAGAATTGGAGTGGGTTGTGTTCTCCCACCCGTGACCCTTCAGAATCGAATCGCCCATGAAATATTGCATCCGCCTTATTCAATCGATTCCGGTCTTACTCGATATTTCATGACTGAGTAATACGCAAATCGCCGAAAGGATATTGTCGATGAAATATCTCAAAGGGGACAATATTTCTAGCACAACCCCCATTTTTTTTACCTCACTAAAACCATCGAGAGATTAAAAAATCACAATTTAAAAGGATTGGCAAATAAAAATGGCAAAAAATGGTGAACAAAAAATGGTCAACAAGCTGTCTATTATCCCCGGGGTGGCCCCGCGAAAAATGATCACCCTCCTAGTACATTCCCATCCCGATAAACTCATTATTCCCTTGCAGAAATTGAAAGGCGATCCCGGAATGAAAGAAATAAAAAAATACTCTGAATTAAACATGGCATTTGCTCAACAGGGAAATGAGATACGTACTCCATGGCTTTGATAGAGCTGTACGTCACGTTCTCCAAGCGCGTGGCGCGAATTGAATTCAGAAGTGGTACATGGGGTTGGCATTGGGCGAGTGAAAGAGGAACTGAGTGACGAATAAAAGTGTAACCAAGTGAGACAGCCAGAATGGGTGGAGGGGGTGGATAAAAACTGGTTGGAATATAACCGGCTAGGCAGCTCGGGTGGATGTTATGGAATCCCCAGCGATTTTCGGCCATGTGACGAGAATCGACAACGAGCCACTGGTCAATGGTTGTGCATCCCCAAACCGTTGCGTCATGTTGCATTCTTTTTCAGTTTGAAAATTTTTTTCTCTCTTTTTTCACCCTTTTTTTTATCTACGGCCACAATTCCCTCGTCGCGTCAGACGGTGAGGGGTTGCGTTATTATTCATTGAATTATTGAAAAAATCCCGAAAATTCTCGATTCCAGTGTTAAATAAATATGTTTATGCACATCTGCGGGGGCTAGTCGAGGATATGAAGTTTAAATTGATACAGTTGTTAATTTATCCGTTTTTTTTATCATTCAATTTTTTGGAGTGCACCTTTTAGTGAACAGAATTGAAATTTTTTGATCTCCGCGTCGTGGAAGGATAAAATCGAAATCCAATCGTTGTATCTCACCGGTGGACTTTATCTCAAGAAGTTTAAACCGTCTCCAAAGTTGGCGATGGAAGTATGCCTTTATCAAGAATTTAACGGAATTAGTTCGGTAGAAAGTTAACGACTTTGGCATTAGTCATTATATCGGAGTTTTCTGGAGTCTCCCGGGCAATTAATTCGAGAGATAACTCACCCATCGTCGGGTTAACGTCTCGACGGAGATTGTAGTGTTTGGGTATGCGGTTATAATTTATCATGGAGCTAACGAGGGGTAGATGTTGATTGAAGTAAGAATTCCTCGGGAATTCCGAAATAGTTGGATGAAATCTTTTGTATTCACTAGAGAGGAGAGTACTTCAACATCCGTGAACTCGATCCCCCGAGTTCTTCATCGTCTAGACCTCTCTTGAAATTCCATAAACATTTTTCATCGATTCAGATCACCCACGGATTTGCAAAAAATGAATGACAGGTGAAATTGTCGAGTAAGAAATCATCCGGGCTAACGAATTGAAAAGATGGTTCATGGTGAAAATATCGAGTTTTACCATGTTTCGTGTCTCAGAGGAATCGATACCATCCGAATCGTTAAAGAGAAAATCCAATATTTCATTTCGTTATCGCGCTTGTCGGCGGGGTTAACACACAGCAAGAAAACCATGTCGTTTTGTACGATATTATCGGAAATGGCCTTGGAGAATTGATGCTTCCAGTGTTGAAAATATCCCAGCACTCGGTCAATTCAAATAAATTCAAAATGAAATCGTCGCCATGAAGGGAAAATTCAAATGAATCAGCCACGAGAGGTCAAACCCTTCAACTCCCCAATTAATCAAGCCAAATTAGATTGACCCACTATCAGAGGTCTTGACTTTCCAAATTCTCCTCGCAACATTTAAAACTTGGCTGTCTTGTTCTAGTGGTACTCGTCTTCGGTGCCATGTCGACTACCACCAGCAAAAATTCACCCACCGAAAAAAAACCCCCTGTATCTCACCCCGAGAATGGGCCAACACTCTGGTGGTTAAGTTTCTCAAATGCTTTCGAAAACTCGTTCAACGAGAAGCTCACGATAATCGCAACTTCCAACGCCCAAACCCTTAAGTCCTTCCCCTCCCACTAAAACCCAAAGTCCATTAGGTACCAAAACTTATCGTATTCATTCGAAATTATCATCCACTCACGGATACATAAACGCTTCTGAAAATCCTTATCAGGGATACGATAAAACTCCACCATTTGTTTTTACTCCTCAATTATTATTCGTACTTTACAAGTTTCCCGTGAAAACTCGTTGGAATGCGCCATAAAGTAGACATCGGTACCAACTTTATTGTTCAATAAACTGAGAACGTCGGAGGTAAATAGAATAATCAACATCGAGAACTAGCGAGGGGAGTGGTTGTGGAGAGAACAATCTACCGATAGTTTAAGAATTGAGAAAAAATAAAGAAATTTGAGAGTAGGCACAACACAAAAGTGTGATTAACCTACGTGAAGACATAAAGACACCATTAGAAATAATTTCCAGAGAAGGCTCTGTCAAACAGCTGTGTTTGTCTCAAAGCTCAGCGTGAAAGACATTAATAGAAACAGATGGAGATGCCGTAGGTCTCGGCCTTTGAGCACTAGCCACGCCCCGATCGTTGCACAAAAACGTTGCACTTAGTTACGACCTTGAGTTGACATTTTCCACAGAAACAAATGGAATTGTCAAACAATTTTCATTTAACCGATTGAAACAATTCTCAAAGTACTTACCATCGCTTTGATGTGGCGCATAGATGTTCAGATACAAGCAATCCTCACTCTGATTCTTCAAGTACGGCAGAAGCCTCTCCAAGTACTCATGTCTACCTGGCATAACTTCGAGCCGAAGATCTGGCAGCACTTGGGGGCAAACAGGGGCAAATTCCTTAGCAATTCTGACGTCACGCCAGGGCTGCGGTGAACGCGGTGGTGAGAATCTAAAGAGCCCCACCGGCGGTTCAGCGTAAGGTACACCTGTAACATCAGGTTCATACATGTATACATTATGTATTATATCGCCCTGAGGGTTTGCCTTCTTCGGGCTTCCCCGTTTCATATGGATGGGGAGGGGGATTCTGGGTCAAGTGCAGTAAACGCCATCCAAACGCCCCGGGGAATTGAACTGAAATACCAATACGACATGCAGAGCATTTCAACATCCGGAAGAGACTGACATATCCGTCATTCAGCCACGCAAAGTCGTTTGTTCTTGAATTTACATTTTAGTCAGTGTAAAAACCGAACTGATGATGGATCAAGTTAATTTCCCCATCACCAATTTCCGCTGCCATTTTAAATATAATAAAATGTAATTATTTTAGTAAAAACTTTAGGCATTGATAATTGAAGTTATGAGATAAGTTCGGGGCTTCATTAGATTAATTGAATTAAATAATCAGATAAAAATTTGAGGACGAAATAATACGGATGGGGAATCAACCGGATATGGTGGGTAGATATTCAACAGTTCAATTCGTGCGTAATGCCACAATCCGCTCGTCAATGAACATTCGAAGAAATTCCAATGACGGAATTGTTCTGCGAATTTTTTTAATAGCCAACTGCAGCCTTGGCTTCTGCAACGAAATCCTCCTGAGGCATTCGCCGGAGAAAACAAGCAAATACTTCGAGCAGATGGCACACATGACACGAGAGTGAACTATAAAGACACGTCTATGGTCGCAAGGGGGTGGGGAA